AAATTCTGAGAATCCAACGAAAATTGAATCTGTGCCATTTTTAAGCCTACTTTGCTCTATTCGATAAACAATTGAATCTTAAAATGTACAAGAGATTTTAAGAAAAACTTAAAGATGTTCTTATGTCTTCACGTAATGTAACTTCAAGAATTAAAATATCCGTTTCAAATTCAAAAGACCGATAGATATTAGTTAGATCGATCCGAGAATATCAATATTAGAAAATATTATGCTTAAGGTTTAGCCACCAGTATTGTTCACAGACTCTCAGACTGGCGGACAGATGGACAGACATAAGTTTTGTCTTAAACCACAACCCGGTATAAAACTTGGATCCGCAACACTCAGACTTAACATGTTAGTGGAATTAATTTACTACATACAGAAGAATTAATAAACCACTTTTGCCATTTCATGAAATTACAATTCGAATTTTTCTGTCAAAATATCACTTTTTCGCTGCTGCATTACATAATTTTTGTTTTACTACTCACTTAAAATCAGTGAGCAAATAAAAATGACAAGATTTCAAAAACCATGTACGCATTATATTTCAAAGAATGAAAGAAAAAGGCAATAAAGGAGGACAAGACAACTAAAAATATCCTCGCAGTCAAGGAAACTGAAAAAAAGCACAGAAGACAAGAAAAGACGCAAGGCAGAACGTCAATCATCCTGCGATCGGCTTCGACCTGCGCCCGAGATTCATAAAAAAATCCAACCCACGAACTTCCGTTAAAGAAGCGCTGCACCAGTGCAGCCAGCGCCGCCTCGCTCGCTCTCTGCAAAACCAGCCTCAATACCCTGTGCACGTTTAAACCATGAGCAGCTAACCCTCACATTTACTGTTAGTGGAATCTGTATCGTTCTTCTGTGTACATTCCTCTATCAGAGGGTACTTGCAAGTTGTGATTCGTGGATTTGCGTTTAAGAGTGAATGCTTTAGATATGCAAGTCGTATCGCATCGGTTGATTAGTTCGTATTTCCGAGCGCGTCAACTGCTAACATCGCGCGCCCTTAAGTGTAGTGCATATTTTTGCTCGGGAGATAGTGGTGGGCTTCCGCGCTGGAGAATGAGATCTGGTGATAACCTACACGTCAGCCAGCGGAGTTTTCGAAAGTTACCTCCCAACACCGCGAGCCGCCACCGCCCCAGCCGGGACAAGATCTAGGCTCCCAAATGTCCTCCCAACATGTGTGGTAGTGTAGTGTGAGTAAGGGGTCAGGATAGATCAGGGAAGAGGAAGGAAAGATCATGAGCGGTCTGTGGCTCGTTTATTAGGGAACTGTTTCGGCATTCGTCAGGTGGTGATCGGAGAAACCACGGAAACCTACTGATCAGGGCAGCCGGCAGGTCAGAGCAGAAGTCCACAGACAGAAGTTGAATTCGACCTATTCGTCTACAACTAGTGACAAAAACCATGCTATTGTTGACTCCTTAGGACCGCCCGGTAAGAAGCACTACAGTAGCATCATTTGGTGACATCACACAGGCTGCGATTGTTCAGGAAAAGTTATTGCCAGTATAGTGGGTATCCTCTGAGATTCTTGGGTTCGAATCCCTAGAAGGTCGATTTTCAATACTGGCTACATATCTATGTCGAATTCAGCCGCTGCTCTGGCTGGAGGAGAATTCTAGTGACCGGTGGTAATACCACGCGAATTCCGGAGTGGTACCATAAGAAACGGATATCAGACGGGCCGCGATCTTAGTTTGTTTCGTTGACCCTTCCTCCGCCGTCTTAGACACACCACTACACTACCACATGTGTCGAGAGCTCGTCCGGTCAGGAGCAGTGGCCTGCTGGCGGAAATACCAGGAAGAGGAAATCCCCGGAGATCGACTCTTAGATCGGCGCCGGAATTCAGGTTTCAGCGGTGGAGGAACAGCGCCACCTCCCGGGATATAATGTACTACATCTACGGGACTAATGACCGTAGGAATTGACGCACACGTAAACACAAAATAATTACCTCACAAGTCGCGTTCCCCTTACCGCGCGTGCCTATCTGTGGCAAGCGCTAGCCCCCCAAGGCGGCTTCGACGCTGACTGCGCTCCCTACCCGCGCACGTTGAAACTGCATCGCTCGCGGCTCCGTAATACAATAGTCCCAAATACATCCACAATGCGGGCATAACAAAAACTAGCAAAAAAGTGAAGTCATTTACTAAAACGTTTAAAAAACTTGAAATACGTGTCAAATGCGTACAAAGTAGGTTGAACCAATATATTCCGAACTAAAGGCAATAAAAACGCGTACAGCTCTACAAATATCAGGTGTGAACGTACGGACGGACTGGAAAACAACTACAGGAAACTTAACGAAATCTTTATCTATACGGCCGAAACTGATTTTTCAGGATTTGCGACACTTAAATCAAGCTTATCTGACAGATATCGAATGTTACCCTTTATCCACTTCGATTTCTAGAGTCAAACTTCAAGAAACTGAGATCATACCGAAATGACATTTGAAGACAAATGCTGTAATGTGTGAAAAGCTGTCGCAAGATACAAGGCGCAAACGTAAACTAGTAGTGCATAGACATTCTCGTACTAATTACTTTTCTAATCTTTTTCGTCTGGACTAGCTATTCGATATTGCTCTACGCTATTCCCAGCTGCACCTTCGGGCCCAAAAGATTTTTTTTTCTCATTTGCAATCCCCTAATAGTAGACTTGAAATATAACTTTAAGAATATTGTAGAACACAAAAATCTGATCTCTTATGCAAATTTTCATTGAAAATTTTAGAGCCGCTTTTCAGTAAATATATTCTACCGATTTCTGAAAATGCGCAATTTGGAGCGGATATTCAAGAAAATAACCAATTTATATATCATATATATTATATATATATATATATATATATATATATATATATACATATATATATAACACATAGTGTAAATACATTGTGAACTATTGAAAAATCAAAAGAATACATCAAAATGGCGTTTGCGTCATAATTTTCAGTGCATTACCACTATCCGTACAAAACGTTTTTAAATAAATTCAGAACAGCTTTTTTAAATGATCTTGTTTTTAATATTGCTCATAATGTGCTTAAAATTGCGGGGAAATTAATAATGCTTTCAAAAAATGTAAGTGAGAATAACTAAAGAATACAGTTGGGAATAAAGTTCATTTCGATAAAAGATATTCAATAATGTAATTGTTGGAAGACGCCGAAAATATTTCAATTTCTGCAATGCTCTAGGACATTTTAAAAACATTTTAAGGGCATTTTATTGATCATTTTTGGAAATGTTTTAGGTCATCAAAATCCACCCCAATGATTGTTTTGTCATTGTAGAGCTTCGATTCGGGCCAGATCGGCAGTAGAATATTCATTTTGGAAAAAACGAACTAATAGTTACTAATGTTAGGCACTAGTGTTGTCCACAGACGGTCGGTCGTTTTGAAAAAACAATTTTTCGAACCCAAGATTTATCCATTTTTTTGTTACCAGGGCTCCGCAATAAGAGTTCTGTAGAAAATTCGTCGTTTTAAGGCGCACAATGACAATACTTTTTCTTACGAAGAAAGGGAGAGAACGTTAAAAAAGAAGTGAACCGCCCGGGCTTAACTAATAAAAATTATTGTGAGACCGTTAATTTTTGATCACCTTCCTCCCCCTTGTAGCCGCCATTTCGACCCACTGTGAGCCAGTCAGCGCGAGGAACTACGCAGGTGGCGCTGCTGTCGGAGTCTGTAACTGGGGCTCGGAAGTAAGAGGAGAATGCAATTGGTCAGTGGTAATGCCTGGTGATCAGTCGACCAAAGTAGCAATCGAAAAGCACAAAGAATTAAAAGAATTCGGATCAGTTAGTCAATACACACATACTCGCTCTCGCTCTCTTGAGAGAGACAAGGTTTGCCACTATGTTACGAAATAATGTGATGGGGAAGTATTTTAAAAGTCCACGCACCCACAAGAATAAGCGTCTCATTTGAAGATATTATGATAAAAAGCTTCTCAAAAAAATATGTTTTACCAAGAAAATTGCGTTCAGTAGGTTAATTATTTTATCATCATCACACTCCGTTTAGTTATGTATTACGCTACTGATATTATAATTTAATTCTAATCCTGTCAATTGTAAAGGTGGAAGATTCATGGTGTGCACGTACTCTTGATAGGGTAGAAGATGTTTGTTAAGAATTTTTTCAAAGGGGAGATGGGTGACGATTTTTTCTTTGTTGAAGATATATTTGCATTTGTAAATTTACTTTCTAAACTGCTAAAAAGTTTCTAAATTAAAATTATGTCTAGAAATAATTTGTACACATAAAATCCTGTTGGGAAGGGGGATGTTCGTTTTCCTCGGCTTCCCAAAACTTCTGGTTTTCTACAGACTTATCTTTCTCAGCTTTATAAACGAAACAGAAATAACTGTTCCAACCGCGCTTCACTCAAGGACAAGAATCAGAGTAGATAGTGAAATTCACGATTCACAGATTTTTTAAGGGACGAAACTATCCAGAAATATAGAATTAACAAATCATAAATTATTTTAGATATATTAGAGATTTTCAATGTAAAAAGAATCGGTAAGTCCTGGAGTACTATTAAAAAAATATTATATAATATATATATATATATATATATATATATATATATATATATATATATATATATTATAGCAAATCTTTGTTCAATAAGTAGACTAAATCTAAAATAATTCTTTGCAAGTTCCAAAGATACTGAGATGAATAAGACGGAGGTATATTATCTAACTGGGAAGACTGAATTATAATTTATTTGTGAGCCATGAATATCATAATCATACTAAGAGATAAGAGATGAAACATGCGGGCTTAGAAAACTAAAAAATAGGAACATACATCAAACGTTTAAACCTATTTGGTCTTATTTGTTGGTAGAAAAGACGTATGTCACTTGAAGTTACCAAAGCAAACTTATCATGATTTAACGGAAACATTCTCAGTTTTCTTGCTTCCTTTTCAGTTCGCAAAAACTTTCGACAAAGAGTTCAAAATTCATCCGTAGTCAATCCTTCTGCCAGGTGCGTCACAGGCGCCAAGTTCGTCATCACTTGTACAATCAAGCATGACGGGTACGAAGGCAAGTCGTTAAAATCAAGTGCCTGATCTCTAAGCAATGCAAACTGCACTACGAACAATTACACTCATAAATGTTCACAAAACGTTACGTCAACGTCTCCAAAAACAAAACCGTTCTGTTAAATGTCAAGCGGGCAGTGAAATATGTATGGGTGCTCGGTCTCATTTCACTTAACGTTTTTAATTGAAATACATTTTTCTTTTTGACATCTGCTGACAGATATTATTCGACATATTTCATTAGCCATAAAATGTATTTGAATTCGGTTATCATTTCACACAAGACAAATCACTACACGCTCATGCGTATGTTTGAAACGCTCATTGTGTAATTCCACAGAGATTCTATGTACTTTATCAATCTTTCAATAAAATAAATTAATTAAACACTACGGCAATGAGAAAACCCTTTTATAAATAAAGGATACAGTGTATGATGTTATTGATGTCATGATCCCAGTGATGAACTACAAAATAACTTATTTTACAGCTCTCTTGTTCCAATTCGTACGGCGATAAATAGCCAAATACTCTAATCATTAAAATCAAATATATCTGTATTATTTTGTTGGTCAAACAAATTCCGCGAAGTAATTCATGTAATTAATTATATTTGCAGAATTTAAAAGTACCAGAAACAGGTAAATAGGTATTTCAAAAAAAATAAATGGACAACAGATCAGCACCAAAGCAGATTACCGGACCAAAACGATCAAGTTCAGGTATCTAAACACAGATAATCGGAGTAGTTAGATTACAAAATACGTTATAGCTACATCGATAATGAAAATGTAATATTGCCATTTAATTCAATACATCCACTTATTGTCACAATTTAAGAATAAGTCTACTTTCATACGCGTTACATAATATATCGTTATGAAATAAAAAATCGAAGATCAATAGCTTATAAATGGATTTTTTTTTTCAAATAAGTACACTCACCGAGGTAACTCACACCTTAGAGCAAATCCTCAGTGAAAGTGGTCTTCAGCGAATTCTAGCTAGAAGAAGTGTCTTACCAAATTATTGTCAGTGGAAAATGACTCATGAATACTTTTCCACGTCAGCTAGATATTCTTCTCCCTAAAATCAATCTTCCAGTTATTCACGAAATTTCGCTCCGGGAAGTACTGTAATTTGTGTCTAACGATACATCACTTCGAGTTACAGAAACACTAGTTTCGAAAATTAAACGTCACTCAAAATCGGTTTGCCAGGCACGCGCCAACCTTGAATTGACGTACTTCATTAAGTTCGGTACAAAAACCAGGGAACTTCGAAAATGTGTGAAAGTCACATATTAAATTAATAATATACAATATTAAGAAAATTGCGTACAACGTCGATAATAATATTAATGATTTTATTCAGCCAGCTTTAAAATACAGAAGCTAAAAGTATTCTGGTGCAAGTTATGCTTCATTAAAGAAAGAAAAACTTAAAGTATTTTTAGGCGAGATTAATTATTGTACAATAGTCTTTCAAATTCACAGAAAATGTTGTCAATACATACTATAATACATTCTGCTTTATATGTAATGACTAATTTGCTTCCTTCCGCACATTAAATTGATGTAGTGTTTGTCTTGCATCTCCGAGTGATTTCCAAACACCACTGCGTCGGAGAATAAAATTCTACTTGTCAAGAGACCACATACAGAATTCTGTTTTTATAAAAGGCACTACTTTTTTCGCTTTCATTTAATAAAACAATATTTTCTCAAATTATGGGAGCCTTTTTAAACGTCAGGGTTCTACGCAAGGACTTGAACAAGTATACAACTGTTCCTCCAGTAGTAATGGTTTGTTTCTATAGCACACTCCAAACAGAAAGAAAGTATTGCAATGTTGAAATTCGATTTTCAAATTTTCATATAAATACACTTTTGAGGTATAATTTTATATTTTGATTTAATGTTAAATTAGTATCAACAACTCCGAAATCATAATAAGAAATTAAAAACTCAACTGGTTAATTGAGGCTATTCCATTAACGGAATTATACGATATACAAACATAATGTAATCGGACCGATAATCTGTTCTTTAAATTAACCATACGTTTACATTAATATTACAAATTAAATAGAATGTGTAGATGAGAAAGTTCGTATAAATTACACACTGGTCTCAAGCGAGGTTCGTTGCATACGACCAACAAGCGAAGTAAGAAGTGCAGTAAAGAATTGTAATCAATTGAACAAGTCAAATGTCAACGAACAAAATTTAAAGAAAGGTATGATAGATTTGCCTCCGCTACTGATAGTGGAATAGCGACGGTGGCACAGCGAGGCGGTGCGGAGCGACCTAGCTCGGCCCGGCGACTCACCTCCGCAGGCGTCCTTGAAATCGGGGCAGCAATCGCCGAGCTTGAGGCAGGCGTGGTCGCAGTAGCAGGGCTTGTCGCTGAGGTCCTCGATGATGGCGTTAATGGGCGCCTTCTGCACGACGCACGAGGAGTCGCGACCGGGGCAGCAGAGCTTGGCCTCACGGCAGCTGCCGCCGGCGGCGGGACGCACCAGCGCGGCGGCGGTCAGCAGCGCGGCGGCCAGCAGCGCGCGCGCGGGCGCGGACACGGCGGGCGGCGCGGCGGCGGGCGAGCGGGAGCGGCATGGGCGGTGGCGGCGGCGGGCGGCGGAGCGATCAGGGACTGACTGACTGGCCGGGGGTGGAGTACCCAAGGGGAAAGCAAGAACGCACCGGTCCGCGTCGCGCGGGACTGACTGAGCCGCGCGGCGGCGGGCACCGCGCGCTGCGCCGCCGCCCCCCACCCCGGCGCCCGCTGCCCGCACGCCCCCGCCGCCGCCCTCGCCGCCGCCGCCGTCGCCGACCGGTCTCGCTGCACCGCGCGGCGCGAGCGCGGACCACGTCGTCGCCTCCCCCGCCTCTTCCCTTTCTCGTCTCTTCCACTATCACTTCTCCTCTCACTTCTTGGTTCTCTTCTCGTTCTCGGCTCTTCCGCTTCTCTCCACTCATTCGTTCTCTTTATCTCGTCTCTTCCGTTTTACTTCTCAGCTCATTTCTTCGTTGTTTCCTCGTTTTTGTCTCTTCTCTACTCACTTCTTCGTTCTCTTCTCGTTTTCGTCTCTTCTCCACTCACTTCTTTCTCTTCTCGTTCTTGTTTCTTCCGTTTTCCTCAATCACGATTCGTTCTCTTCTCTTCCTCTTCTCTGCCTCTTCTATTCCTCTTCTCTTCCCTCCCTTTTCTCATTCTCATTTCTTCACTCCTTCCCCGCCTCACCTTCTTCATCACGCCTCCCCGTTCTTGCGAGCCTCACCTTCTTCTCTTCCTCTCACTTGTTCCGCACCTCGTATCCTTCAGTTTTCCTCACTATTTATCTTTCTCGATTTACGGAATATGTGACTCAGTTGGAGATTTTAGTTAACCTTGCTTTAATGTTGCTGCACAACAAAGTTGTTACAATCGACTCACTAATCCCTGTGACCTCTCAAACATTGCGAGCCAATTGGAATTGGCCATTGACAAATTCAGATATTTATATTATGAAAGTCTCAATTATCTTAATTAACAACTGCCTTAATTATTAACGACCCGGTATTCTGAAGACTTTGAAGAAAATGCATTTAAAACAAATTTAAAATTACTACAATATTCAACTACTTCTTTCTATTTGTACCTAATTATTTTTTACTACTTAAATAGTATTGATAAGTATTTATGACTAAATTAAATTTTATACTTTACCACGACATTCAACTGCTTCTTTCTATTTGTACCTTAAGCTTCAGGTTCAATAACTAGAAGGTAAACTTTTTTCTTTGCAAAACGCGAAACGCAAACTAGCATTTAAACGTTCCAGCCATTAATATAATGTCAATGTTATTGTTAGCAATGCAGTTCACGATGTCCTTGACAAAAAGATTTTTTCTTTTGAAGATCCGCTAGACACAATTGTTGAATTGTTACTTGACGAATCTGAAAATATGACTGGGGAAGACATAAACGAACGATTGAAATGATAATTGATTGATTTGGAATTATAAACTTGTATGATATCATCGTAAATGAGAATGCTCAACAAAGGAGGCAACTGTTCGCGTTCGGACAATATTAATGAAGAGTACGTACTAAGCGCATTTAACACTACTATGTTGACTGAAGAAAACCTTTGTGCAGCCAACTTTATAAATGCTGAACCTGACCAAGTGGGATAAAAAAATAACTTGTGGATCTACGTAATAGCACAAACATTCTCGTTCCAGTTACTTTCCTATATTCTTCGGCGCCTAAAAGACTCTCAGGATATTCGACGATGACTATCGCTCCTCTGCGATGTAATAAAGAACACCATCGCGCACCACGAAATTCGCAAAGTCCTATCTCGGTCCTTTACTTTACCCATGGTTCTCGACGACCCCACCTCGGCGCATGTACCATGGTTCTGGATGTGGGATCCAGTTCCCAAATTAAACAGATCGCACGTGGGTGACTGCCAGGGCAAGATATTACGGAAGATTTATAGTAAGAATGTATGTAACACATGAGGGACTCGCAATGCTCTCCATGCCTCAAACACAACTGAAATCATTCATGTATTGCATGGGTTTCGAAGTCTTAGTGTCCGCGTACTTTGCCTCACCTCCCCCAATGCCGTGTGTCACGAGGCCGAATCAGTTCACCGTTCTAATTGTAAACGGGTTGCGGCTTTAGGTTTATTATTAATTATGCAATTAAGTATCGAAACTTTGTGGCAGAATATAATAACTTAACATGAATTAAGCTTACACTGACGAACAATAAATTACAAGAGTTAATTAAAAAAATAACAAATAGTTCCAAATTTCACCGCGCAAGCCTTACTACACATCAATTTACTTCATTGCACTACACTACTTCAATAGTAACAAATTTTTAATAATAATAATATTAAAACAACTTCTACGAATAATAACAATTAAACAAACGCACGTATTAGGAAATACTACTAATTTCACGGTAAAAACTTACCAATAATTCATTGACCTTAAATATACATAAATAGAAAGAAAACTAATTTATTTTTAAGTTTTCTCAAGCTTTGAAGAAAGGGTTCAAAGATTGTCGCACGCAAACTGTGCCAGTCTCTAATCGGTTTGTGAATGAAAATTTCCCAAGTTTTCTGTATTAGTGTCTTAATTTTGTACACGTGATCCTCTCTTCGTAGTATGATATTTGATCAAAATAATAATATAATTAAAACTGACCTCTTTATGAAAACGCAATCTTTAGTGTGCTTAGTCACGCCGAACTTATGTATCTAAATAACATTCTTTGTCATAACAACAGCAAAGTTACTTTAGCATTAAAACCTAGGAATAACGCACTCAGTAATGAACAAGTTACTCAAAATGAACCAACTCTAAAAAAGATTTTGTACAACATAATATTTATAGCACATATCAGCTAACGTAATGGTGTGTGTTTACTTTCACGTAATAATTATACTGCTAAAACAGTGACTTATCAAAAATCACGTACATTTTTTCACAAACCTGTTGTCATATACAAATTGTCATTGGAATATTTGGAGTCGTTTTTAAGAATAGGTCATTTGTATATTTCTGAAAATGTACAAATTTGAGCTTATTTTTCCAGAAAAGTTTTGAGTTTTCGGGAAACTTCATTAAAACCCTTTGAAGCCATTGAACTCACAAATACAATTATGTATAAAATGCCCTTAATATAAATATTAAAGGCGTGAGGTATATGTTAAAAAAGTATTGTGTAATCTTTTATCAATCAAAATGGTCATGTTATTCAGTGCATTGCGCACTATGCATACAAAAAATTAAACAAAACTAGGAGACGTTTTTGAGAAAGTTTTGTTTTTAAAATTGCTCATAATGCACTCAAAATTTCGCGAAAACCACTATTTTCAAAACAACGTACCAGACATTGGTTAAATAACTAATTATAGAGATTAAATTTAATTGGAAGAAAAAAATCTCTAACTTCAGTAATATAATTGTATGTTTTCCAAAATTCAGGGGCAACAGGGAAAACCGGATCTATGCCAGCTGTGTACTGCACTCTGTTCTTACAAGAAATAGAAATAAAAAGTGAAGTCATTTTTGAAAAAAATTTGCAAATACCTTAGGGACTTCATGTACGAGTAAATTACCCCCGAAATACAAAGAAATATTTTCAAAAATACCAGGGCTTTGAATCAGGCGAGATCGATCGTGGAATATTCATTTCGATACAAACACACTACCAATAATTTATGTGCTAGACCTGTTCACAGAAGGACGAACGTTTAGAAGAAAAAAATAATATTCTTAATAGCTGGGGGACCCCAATATGTTAACATTTTCCATTCAAATGTTGAAATCGATTTTCCTTAGCATTACATAACTACCCCACGTATATTACTCTACATACAAGAAAGTAAACTCATTTATAAAAGAGTTGACAACTTACGAAACATGGAATCATTGACATCAAGAGGTCGAGACGGAAGAAACAGAATCGCCCCTGAAAGGTCACACCATAAGAGTACATCGCAACGGAAACTCCATTATCATCACTATGCTGTAAAGGTTCTTCGAAACGGAGTCTGACCATCACAAAGTTAAGCTCTAAGTATTACTAATAACTCTTCACACAGCACATGCCAACATGATGTAACTTCTTCACAGCACCAAAAACTATACTCGACTTATCGCGTCTGATCGCTCAAATCGACTACAATCTCATCTCTAACTCGGGAGTGAAAATGTCTAGTTTTCACATGTTGCTAACCTCGTTTTGTTGGTACTTTTACTTGTCATTTAACTATTTATAGTAGTAAAAGGATGGGAAAGAAATTCTGGAGCTCCAGAAAACGTGCGCAAATTCTATTTCTCCCCCATACGTCGCATACAGTTTTAACTGTCCTTGACGAGAAAAAAAAATCAAATCAGATCCAACGAGAGCTACTGTGGGTAGAATTTAAATCTTTTAGCAGTATCTTATACCTATCTTATACCTAACTGAAGCGGCGTTTAAAACTTTTCCGTACCCATTCTCCTCTCAGTTACCCCTCTCTTCGATAAGCGTGCGTACAGATTTTGAAAGGGGCCTCCTTTTGCGTAATAGAAAATGTTATTCCTGTAAATATGTTCAATCTCCGATCTTTCCCCTATTTTAACGTGTTGTGGAATAGTTCGACGTTATTTGGGGAACAGGCTCTCTCAGCTATCAGGCAAACTTATAAATGGTTCAACATAAATCAATGGTATTTACTAATTGTACCATTGAAGTTATAATTTAATTATTTTTAAATTATGTTTCACTCATTTATTTACTAGTAAAATATATCATAGGTTCGTAAAAACATTTAGTGGAATACTGGGTCCAGAAATGTAGTTACCCACTCCCCCCATTTCTTAGGCTGCGTATTCCTACGCTCCCTTCGCATTAGGAAAAATTCGCTTGCGACTTCCACGGGTCAAGTAACCGACCAGCCGAGTTTATGTCGTTTATAGATATATTGTGAACTGAAAGATGTTTTAACTTAATTCATGTCGAAAAATGCCGATTCATTAGATACTTGTTTGCTAAAAAATTCAAAAGTGAATGAATTAACGAAGATAATAAATAATATAAATAATATCGTAGATTTATGATGTGGCAAAATCAATAAGAAAGTCATCTGATTCAGGCAACTGTGAAACTCTCTCGTGCTGGATATATCAATTGCCATTCTCGTCAGTTAAATCCGTCTCTACTAAATACTGCATTAGTTAACAGAAATATTCGAATTTCTAAAAAATATTCAGGTTTTCTGTACATTCTTTCTCGCTTGTCCACAAATGACTCCTGGACTGGGTAAAGTGGTTAAATAGGACATTACGCAATTCGGTCCTACTACTTGAAATTTTCATTCTCGAGTTTAACTTTGTGTTATTGTCAATGCGACCTAAGCTGCAGACATGAATATACCTCACTTGCATCAGGACACTTAAAAATACTCCAGAGTGCTTCAAGTAGATATAATTTTAGTCAGCTGGGAAAAGTACTTTGACACAAGTAATGCTAAGAAGTGTATAGATGCCTTTGAGAAAAAAACATTGGAATTAGGAAAAAGTATAAAGGATCTACTCAGCTAAGTCAGTGATTCAAAAAGAAGTAAATTTGATCATTGATAGGCAAGGAGAGAGGAAATTAAAAAATGAGTCGTAAATATTTACCAGATGAAGAAAAAAATTAAGATCCCCAGATATTGTAGAATTTCAACTAGAAAAGCAGTTGCAGTGCTTCAACTAGAAATATTTCACAAATATGATGCTTGTTTGCCCAAAATAAATTTAAATGAGATTTGCAAAGCGTATCCTTTTATTATATCAAAAAACTTGAAACGGAATTCTAATAATTTAAAATAGGCGTTTTTACAACGGTTTTAATTGTTATATGCGCCTTTGAGTACAATGGTGAAACGCTGAGAATTACTACACTCTTTGCGGCATTTACGTGAAATCGTTACGACTTGATCCATAAGAGTGGCGATAATTATACGTTATTTTGTAATGAAGCCTAAATTTAAACAAGCCGACGTGGTTAGTCAAAATCGTTTAGGATGTAGCCTTAGCTGTCTCGGCTCGAAGGGTCGTGGGTTCGAAGCTCCACTCGGGCATGGATGGTTGGATGTGATTGTGTTGTCCTTACATGTTCTCCCTACAACCCCCCCCCCCCCTAAAGTTTAAAAATCACAGTGGTAATTATATGGCGAAGAAGAAAAAAATTAAACAAGTGTTTTAATATATGTTTTCTCACAGAACTTTCTTTGCCCGGAAGTGGACGAGATGGGCAAATGTAATATGTTTAAAATTTATGTTTACTATGAACCTGCAAAGCACAAATTAAACTTTTAAACATGAAAATACCCGCCGGAGACGCAACACTACTCCAGTTCTACATGTATTAATGTTAGGGAAGCTAATAGCATAAATCTTTTTAAAAATATGTTAGTCCTTAAAGGATTGTAAAGTATTTTCAGTTGAGAAAATGAACGTTCTTCTGAGAAATAAGAAATCATTTTAGCAAAATATTCACCGCAATGGCCGTGTTTAGAAACACGGACGGAACATTTTTTACAACATTGTAAATGTACCATAACAATTGAAGATTGTTCATTTTAATATTCACTTTGTCATACCCTTGTATTCAGAAGTTTAAAATGTGTAGAACCACATCTCTAATCACAATGTAAGAAATCAAAAGAAGTGTCTCCTAGATGTGAATTCATTAGGAATGCACACAGCAAATTAAATGTTCAAATATACGTGTAAATCAAGTATTACATGACCTCCAAAACGATTTCCCTAGTTTGCCGTCAACTCACAGACTTAACGCCACTCAATATACAAATAACCTCCCCTATGCATATATATATATATATATATATATATATATATATA